CGGAGCTGCCGCTGCCCGCTGGCTGGGAGGAGGCGCGCGACTACGATGGCCGCGTCTTCTACATCGACCACAACACGCGTCAGACTTCTTGGATCGACCCTCGCGACCGGTAAGGGGGCCAGAGGGGGGCGTGGGCGCTACCAGTGGGGCCGCCGGCCGGCTCCTCAGCTGATGCTCTGGCGACACGCCCCGCGCAGCGCAGGGCCGCCAAAAGCCCCTGGGCCCTGGCAAGGATCTGGACGCTTTCACTCCCCTGGCCGGGATGCGCCTGGAGCCCTCCTGTCCAGGCTACGAAAGTGATGCCCCCAACCCTTGGACTCAGGGAGAAGATCGAGGACAGCAGGGAGCCCCCTGGGTCTGGGTGAAGATCTTGCGTTCTTGGGGCAAGAGACCCACCCCCCTCCTCCGGCACTGACCGAGGATCAAGGTGTCCCCTCTCTGGGCCTCGAGACCTCAGAGCTCGGAGGCCGGGCCTCCTCCCGGTCCCTAGCCGCAGGGCGGACGCTCTGACTCGATTCCCTCACGTCACCCGCTGTCCGACGCCTGGGAACTGGGCGCCTGGAATTTCCTCTCCCAGGGCTGACAGATGGCCCTCTTTTCCTTTCTCTGGGGCAGCCTCGCCCATCCCTGCCTCGGGCCTCGGTGGCCCACCACACGGGCTCTAGCTCTAAAGGCGTTCTGGCCCGTCGTGGCAAGATGAAGCTGTCACCTTGGATCTGAAACGTGCGCCCCGGCTTCGGGGTGTGGGTTCCCTGTCTGGAGGGCTCAGCCTGGTTTTCATCCAAAGCCTGATGCCAGACAGGCACTTGAGGGATTCCCAACCCTTTTGGAGTTAGGGGAGTCTGTTCCCAAACACTCTTGGTTGCTCTTTAGGGCCTTAAACATCAAGCGAGTTTAAAGTTCTGTTTGAAATAGCCTTCTGTACTGCGGCCAGCATGGAATATGATTAGTCCCATATGCTTTTGGAATAAACGAAAAACAAGAGTTGTACTTTACATCTCCTTTTTTTGCAAGATATGCATGGGGTACAAAGCTGTCTTATTCATGTATAAAAATCCGATCAAGTTAAAACGGATTCTTATAAAAAGCACCACCAGATTTCATTTAGTTAATTTCATATAATGAAACTTTTCCTTAACTTTTTGCTCCATTGTCTACTGGCTCCAATGGTTCAACTGCTTTTAGAGAGATGTATTTTTTGTGGAATAGGGAATTCTGTGGAAACCGAGTGTTTCCACTGGTTATCTGATACCTTGTCCTCTCTAGAGCAATTTCTCTCCGCCCAGGGCCTGAGTGCCAAAAAGGAAATACCGGAGGCTTCCCAGTGATTTCAAGACTTGAAAAGGCCCAGTGTGGTGACATTGTGCCTGCTTCCTCCTACCTACGCAGGAAAAGCAGCCTGCATGGCACTGGCATTTGCAAATAAACTTTTGAGGAGAGAAGCTGCTGAATTGATTGAAGATTTCTCTGGGTTCAGATAGGGAAAAACGAAACAAAAGGATCATGGTTCCCTAAGTTTCTCTCTGACCATTGCAAACCTTTAAACTCAGAAACTTATATAAATCCTAGCCTAATTTCATGGGTTAAAAAAAAGATGCTTAGTTATTTTGAAAATCAGGTGAGATCATATTATAATTTTAACCAAAGGCTAGAGCCCCAGCTGTTTGATCAAGCCTTGGAAGATTCTGGAATTGGTAGAACTGCTTGGAATGTAGTGCCCTTTTATACTGCAATGTCTGTGTTAAAGTCCCGAACAACTGGAAAATGAACCAATTAAAAATAGTGTTTTGCTTAGAAAAGGCTAAGCTCATTTTCTGATGGTGATATAAAACAGTTTTGTGTGTGGATTCATGCTGAAAGATACAAATGTAAGAATTTTTGTTTGAATGGTATAACCTGCCAAGTAGGTGAGCAGACCCTACAGGAATCTTTGTAGCTTGTAAAATCTTTGTTTCCATGTATTTCATACAGATTTCTTATGTTCCTTTTTCTAGAAATCTGTTTGTTATTGAATAGCATTTTTTCAATCTTTTCAGACATCATTTATGTTATGATTTTTATAAAAGTCCTGTTTCAAATGTTAAAAGTGTCAGTTGAGCGAATAAAAGTGACTATTTTACTTTTTTTTGTAAAGTAAAAATGTGTGTTCTTTTATGAGACATTGTTTTTACAGTGAGTGAAAATTCAGCAGGGGACAGCTTGAACTTCAGCTCCCAGAATACCTTGCCCGAAATATGTATGGAATGTTCTGCAAGCCACAGACATTTAAGTGGAGTCTGCAGAAGGCTGTTATAGTCATTCTCTCTCTTTCAGAACAGAACGTTGCTGATTTCTATAGGTGACCTGTTATCCTTTAAAGTTGTAATTAACTTTTATTATATGCAAAGAATTGTACGTCAGACTGCAATGTTTTCTCCATTTGTATCTGACAGTTAAAGCTCTTTTTGAGTCCGACCAGAAAATGGTGTTCAAGAAATGAGGACTTTCCCCAACAGCTTCCGAATCTAGAATTGACAGGAGAGAGGCAAATAGG